AGGTTATCGTTCAGTTTTAGAGGTGAGAGGGGGACATCCAGTCTCGCCCCTTCGTTTCCCAGAGTGGCAGGACTGCTCACCTTGGGGTACCCCAGGAGGACAAATTCAGGTGAGGCCACCACACCTCCTCGCTGAGCCAGACAAAGCCAGATGGAGACGGGAGCCACCCCTGCCCAGCTGTACAGTGAACTGAGGAAACTGTGTGGCTTCCAAGGCTATTTCTGCCTCAACCTCTCCTGGCACACAGGAGACACTCCCTGAACGTTTGCTGAACAGATTTAGGACCCAGGACCAAGTTTGAGTCATCCAAGGAGCTTCCCCCTCAGGCCTGAAGAAGGGAAGAAATGTCTGTCAACATCCCCATAGTGCAGAGGAACGGAGTGTTTCCAGGTCAGAGCTACACAGTCCTCGGGGGCCCACCCACTGTGGTCAGACGGCTCCACGGGGACAAAAGAGTCAACAACTCACCCCAATATCAAAACAGTACAGACTGAAGAAGCTCTCTCTGTGCTAACATGAAATGTGTCCAGGACATACTGTTAAGTAGAACAGCAAGGGCATAAACGTATCTAATTTTTCATCTTTTGTATAAAAAGTGGACAGAATTAGTACATTTGTGTTGGCTTACATTTGCATAAGTAAACTCTGAAAGGATTTAAAAGACACTAAGAATGGAAGTTACAGGGCGGAGAGGGAGGGATGGATGGATGGGGGCAGGGGAGGAAGAGACACTCTTTTCTGTGTACATTTGCAGACTGCTTGATCTTTGAACTGTGCAAGTGGTTTACCTTTCAAAGTCTGAATTTTACAAACAGCTTGCCCAAGATCACACAGTGTTTCCCACAGTTGGGAGATGCTTTCACCAGGTGGGATGTGAAATCCATTGGGATGGTGTGCAAGGTGACTGCCAACAATTCTCAAACAAGCACTGAATCACATGGTGAAAGTCATTCCTTTTTCCCTTCTCTTTAGTCTTCTGCACCCATCAAGGAGAAGGTCTCAGTGAGATGCCAGTGGGTCTTTAACACCTCTCTAAATCCTGGTAAACCAAGAAGGCAGGCGTCAGGCTTAGAGCCGTGGCCAACAGCAGCAGCTAGCTAAAATGAAATCATGTTGTTTCTTTGACACTGAATTTACTTGTACTAATATCTACTAAGAATGGCAAGTAATGTTGGCTTTTCATTTACAACAGTAACATGAGGCTTCCTTTCCATAATAGTAGATTTAAGTAAAATGTGAGTTGTTCTAATATCTATATATATAAATCCTAATGTCATTGCTTTGTGAATATAGTATTATCAAGTACTGTCCTTGAGCCTGAAACTGCTAAGTGCTTCCCATGTATTAATATATAGATTCTCCTGCCCCTGTGAGACGCAGATGAGGACGCAGGAGAGTGTGGACTGTGCCCAGGGTCACTGGTTAACTGGAGGTGGATATGGGATTTCTCAACCACTCCTCTATTTTGCCTTTGGCTGTTTGTCAGAATCACCTACAGACTTGTTGCAGAGGCAGGTCCCCGGGCCTCACAGAAACGCTGAGGGGCGTGGCCTGTGCTGAGGAGGCGGATATGGGATTTGGCCTCCCGCAACCACCCATCCCCCCTCCCCACACACATACCAGTGGGACTAAAGCTGGTGGCCCAGTGAATGTGAACCAGCCCTCCTGCCTCCACCAGTGCTCAGCCTCCCCTCACTCGACCTAAAGGCTCAGGCTTCATTTCGCACAGCCTCCCCTTCCTCCTCCCAAGCTCTGGGTCACTGAAGACAAATGGTTTCAGCACATCGCCCACCCCCCAAACCAGAGATTCAGACATACACATACACATACACATACACATACACATAGCCCTCTGCAATTCCATTGAAGAGCTCAATCTCCTGGAACTTTTGCTGCTCTTCGGGGCCCTGGGTGGCGGCACAAGGAGGGCTGAGCTTTGCTTCTCCCACTGTTGTGCCCGGCTGGACAGCCTGCAGGCTTGCCTCTCTGCCCAGCATTGGCCGCAAAGCCCTCTGCCCCTCCCCCCACCCCACCCTGACCCGCACCACCTCTGCATGGCCCTTCAGGGACCCTGTTCAAGGTAATTGGATTTCTCCCCTTGTCAGTTTGCAATGAAAACATCATGCATTCAGGAAGCAGAGAAGAGGGCTGCACCCCCATTCAGCAACTGCAGCCCAGAGCTGGGAAGCTAGGAGACCGCCTAGCTGGAAAGTGGCTGCCAGCACCCTCACACCCACCCTGTGCCCTCTGCCCTCCCAGAGATGATCGAAGGTCACCGGGGCTCCCAGCCGGTAGTGAGGGCTGCTCCTTCCCTATCTCCCTCTTCTCTGAGAGAGGTTGAGGGACTCCCCTCTTTTCTGTGGGTCACCGGTACTCTCTACACTGACAGTGTCTAAACTGCCCACCCTCACCTGGCTATCAAATCACCTGGAGGGCTCTGTAAGAGGCAAGCCCCAGGTCACGCCCCTCAGCATTTCTGTGAGGCCCCGGGGACCTGCCTGTTCAACAAGTCTGTAGGTGATTCTGACAAACAAGCCAAAGGCAAAATAGAGGAGTGGTTGAGAATGTGGGCATTGGCCTCAGTTTGAATCCAAGCTCCAACCCCAGCCCCCTGAGGGTCCTGGAGCAAGTTTTAAATACCGTGTGCTCAGCAGTGAAATAAAGATGATGGTGACAGCATCTAAGTCATAAAGTTCTAGTGAGAATTAAATGACATCGTGCTTAGCACAGTCAGGCACACAATACACCCTCAGTAAATTCATCCCATCCTGATGCCAGAGATCTATAATGAGCCCCCCCAGTGTCCAGTGGCACAGAGAAGCAGCTGCATTTCTTCTCTAACAGCTGAGGGGGACAGCACTGGACTCAGAGGGACAGCCGGGGGGCCTGGGCGCCTGGGACATGTGGCCATCAGGGGCCGGAGCCCACAGCACTGGAGCTGTAGCCCGAGGCGCAGCAGCGTCTGTGGAGGAGGAGCCGGGGCTGACGCAGTCGCTCCCGTCCACCTCTCTCCCCAACCATGCCAAGCGTGATCCCCGAGGCTCCAAGAGGCAGAAGGGATGCAGATCATTACTCCTCCTTAGAGATGAGGAACAGGCTTCAGTGGCCAAGGTCATGGACCCACAAAGCAGAGCAGGGCCTGCCAACAGGCTTCCCCTGGGGCCCAGCTGGCCAGGGTGGGGTAAATGCCAGGCCGGGGTCTGAGGGCAGAGGCTCTGCCCCCCACACCAAGGCTTCTTCCCCAACTCACAGAGCAAGAGTCCTCAGTGAGGGAGTCCAACCCCAGTCTGAGAGAGTGGGGAGCCAAGAGAGGCCTCCTTAGGGAACTGGCAGAACTGGAGATGCTGTTTTGCCTGATCTCAGGTTTTGTGTCTCTTCTGGGAAGATGGAAAGATGGAAAGATAGCCCCCATCTGCAGGCTATCTGGAGGGCGGAGAGAGGTAGAGCTCAAAGCGCAAACAGCTTGGAACTTACGAGAGGAAGGGCCCGGGGGGCTGGCAGTCCCGGAGATGGGGCTGGGACAGTCAAACCTGCAGCTCCGCTCACCAGGCAGCCCCAACCGGGAGACAAAATAACTCCAAAGAGGGGAGGGGCTCCCCTCCAGGGCTTGGACTTTGGGAATAGAAACTGAATTCTAGAAAAAGACACAGTCCTCGGCCCTGAACCTGTGGACTGAGATTCATATTCCTCCAAGGTATTTATACATTGGGGGCCCACTTAAGATTTACTTTTTCATCAGAGAGTCCCATAGCTTTGCAAAGGGAAGAAGAAAAGGAAAACCCAACCAGAGACACAAGCTGAGCAGGGAGTTTCAGGGGAGGGAGAAGTGGGCAGGACATCCCTTCCCCGGCAGCTGGTGCGTCAGGAGGGCAGGTGTGCCCGGGCAGGAGGTGCACGAGCTGCCGGACACCAGCAGGGCTGGGCACCGCCTCCTCCTCCAGGCCCCAGAGGAGCCGCTGGGAGTCAGGCCGCGTCCGCGGTGCCCCAGCCAAAGGCCCGGCACCCTCCCCTCTCTAAGGCCACCATAAAGGGGATATGTTCCAACAGCTGCTGAGAAATAAAGACACAGAAAACGCTGAAAAAGGAGTCCTGTCCCAATACCACAAAGCTCCCCAGGGATGCCTGTGATGAAAGCCCCCAGCCCCCAAAGGGCAGCAGTGGGCACCGGGGCCGGAGGAGAGGGCTCTGTTCTGGGCAGCACAGCAGGCTGTCAGAGGAGGAAGAGAAACCACCTCAATCTCTGCCCCCCATCCTCCCCCGCACACAGCCCATGATTGCTCTTCCAGCCCTGGCCTTGGAGAATCACCCCCAAATTCTGCCTTTCTCCCCCAAACTGTCAAACCCCAAAGGACCCGAAGAAGGCAGTGAGAGGTCTGGTCCCTGAGCCGGGGAAGTCCTCAGGTTCACCCAGCTTCTCTCTGACCCTAAGCCTTCCACCACCCAATGCCAGCCCCACGCTGCAGGCAGGGCCCCCTCGCAGACCGAGGGCTCACCAGCCACAGCGCAAAGCCCTTCCTCATAAAAGGCAGGTGTTCTCACCCCACGGGCACTGAGGCATCAGCGCCAAGACTCCCACTTTCTATGGAGAGCACGCCACGGTCCGAGGCCCTGGGACCCTCGAGGCTAGAGGCCTCTGGTCAGGGCCCCGGGCAAAGGAGCCCTGCACTCCAGCGGTCCCGACCCCACAGCCCACCAGCCATTCTGGCCAGCACTTCGGAGCGAGCCTTTAAGTTACCTAAGCATCAGACAGGGGCCCAACCCAGGCTCTACCCGGACCTCTTCCCAGGTCCTGGGGCCTATGGAAAAAAGTTATGAACTACCCTCCAAGGTCAAATACCCACTTCTACCCTCTTCCCCAGTTCCCACCATTCCCAACTACCTTCACCATGTCTTCCAGATCCACGTACGGCATTACCATTGTGTATTAATGTTGCTACATGGACTCATTTTTACTTAAATTTATTTATTGAAAACATCACCACAATTAATAGAATGCCAGTACCACCTGTCATAAATAAAAGGTAGCCAATAAAAATATACCGTTAAAACAGGGCTATAAAAGTCTGGAAACTTTTCCTACCTGCCCTAAGCCCAAGGCCTGTTCCCTAGTAACAGGGGAAGTCAGCGCAAGTTCCAGAGGCATGAGAACATATTGGCACTGAGCAGAGACTGTCTTCTTGGCAAAAAAGGACTGGAAGATAATGGGAAGGGAATCCCTTTCTTGCTGAGTTTGTGCTTAATGCAGGCTCAATGCCACCTAAAAACAGCTCACAGGATCCACCTGATACCTTAGAATGCTGCACTAGAAGTTCCCTCTGCATCATGCTTAACACACTGTGGAAACAACATTCTCTGAGCACATCTTCAAGGCACCACTAGATCCCCTCCCAATGTGCCTGCTCTCACACCAAGGCCTAGCAACTCCCTCTCCCCTACGCCTGCCCCCCCAGCAGAGGTCACCGCTGACTCAGGTGGGACACCAGGTAGACGAGGCCCACCAGCAGGAGTCCGCGCACGCCGAGCATCATGAGCAGGAAGAGGAGCAGGATGGAGGTCACGGGCTCCACGGCGTGGTTGCCGAGATGCCACTGGGGAAAGCCCATGTTCACCAGCTGCCGGTTGAGGTCACTGAAGGGGGACTGAGCGGCACCTAGCCTGGCCCCCCCCTGCTGCTGCCGGAGGCCAGGGCCTCCCAGGGGGGCACCAGGGCCCCTGTTGAGAGGGCTCTGAAAGGTGAAAACAGGAAAACGAATGAATCCAGAGAAAGCTTCCCTGGAGGCGAGGTACCTGCCAGAAGGGAACCCTGCAGGCTGGGCGCCGCCCTCCCCTGCAGTCACCCAGGGCCACGCCCTCCTTCCTCAGCAGTCTCCACAGGCCACCCACAGGAATCCCATCTACTGAGTCACAGTTCTCCGAGCACAGAAATTGCCAGTCTGCATTCCCATGTGGTGCCAGGAAGGAGGTGCCCAGGGGTCAAGATGGGTTAGACTACTGGGCGTAGCATTCAGGCAGGCATTTTTTAACACTCTTCATTCCTTCCTTTGAAATCAGCATTGCGTGGCCATGGGCTCGTCTTCTCCGATTACCCTCCAGCTTCTCTCTCATCCAACAGAGTCTTAGAAGAAAGTGTTGACTCCAGTGGAGTTTGCTAACCGGGTTAAAGGAGAGAGAGCTCTCGGGTTTGAAGTCTGGGAAGGCTGCCCAAAGGAGGAATTGCTGGGGAGGCAGGGGGCTGGGCAAAGCTGCCACAGGTTTTCCCCAAGCGTCGGCACCCCACCCCTCCCCAGCCCAGTTTTCTGCAAAGAGAACTTCAGGTTAGAGGTTAATGACCGGCAAGAGAGCTTCTGGGAGCTAAGGACTAACTGGGACAGAGGGTAGAGGACAGCTGCTCCCCTCCCCCGGGGGCTGGGTGCCTACCTGTCGAGGGGTGCTGCTGCGTGGCGGGATATTGGTCCTCACACGGGGGTCGTCGTCCTGCACGATTTCCCCATTGGCCAAGATCCGCACCATCCTCCCTGGAGCTCTGGGTTCCTGCTAGGCCTCACCTTTCCTCAGACCTCAGAAAGCTGGGGGAAAAAAGCAAAACAAAACTATTTACCAGAGATAAAGAGATGCGTGCTTTCAAGGTAAAAACTGCAATTCTGGGTTAAGCAGGCACTGTGTCTGATTAAGAAAAAGGAGAGAGAAAAATTGCAAGTTGTTTGCCAAACAAAAACGTTTCAGGCATTGAGTCCACTGGGGAAACTATCAAAAGAATCCTTGGAGAAGGAGGCTTTATTATAAATCACCACCAGCAACAACGAGGACCGGAACCCTTGCTGCAGCCGGGGCGCTGTGAAAAGTCCATGAAGGCTCATCTCACACCTCCCAACACGCCTCTGAGGAGGGCCCAGCTAGAGATGTAACTAGCTTGCCCAGAACTATTCATTTACCAGCAGCAGAGAAAGAACGTGAAGACCTTCTCTGGATACTAAATAAAGAGTCCAGGGCCCGCAGAACCCCTGGTTGTCCGTTTCCTTCCCGTAACAAACTGGATCCCTGTGCTGTTCCCTAGGGAGTAAATGCCAAGGGCCTGAGCTTTCTACACCCTAGGAGATTCAGGCTGATTTCAGAACCACTTTGGATCCACCGCCTGGCAGCAGAGGGCACTGGTGGCCACGCAGACCCAGAGCTGGGGGGAGGGACAGACCTGCAGAGGGCACGCCCCTCACCTGTCCCACACCTCAGGTAGCCTCAGTACCTCCTTTGCCAGCAGGAGGGCAGGTCCAGCCGTCCTTAAGTATGGGACGGGGGATGCTTCTGTGGCTGGGGAGAGCCCCACTCAGCAGACTCCAAGGGTGTCCATGAACTGGGGGTGGGGGTGGGGCCCTTCCGTGCCTCTCACCGAGTCTATGTAAAGGCCATTTTTTTCCTCAGGAGACGAGCCACAGTTTTCATTTAAATTCTCAAAAGCCCTTATGACACACACGCCAAAAAATGGTTAAGAACCCCCATCTCTTGCCCATGGCCTGGAGCCTGAAACAGGCAGATCCCCCTTTTGAAGCCTGCTGGTCCCTGCAGAAAGCCAAGCGGGTCCTCCGCAGTCCCTCTGTGCATTGCCAACCCGGCCCTCTGCGTTGTCATCCCGACCCTCTGCGTGGGCTGCGGGTTCCGCCGGCCCTCGGTGCACCTGACCCTACCGATGGGAGAAGTGGGGTGCTCCCGGGGCAGGAGGAACCCTGTCCAGCCCGCCGAGCCCAGCTCTGAAACCAGGCCCGCAGTACGGGAAAGATGCGCCTCGCTCCCCCGCGCCCCCGGCCCCGACACCCACCTGCAAGCGCGTCCACTCGCCGCGGCTTCCAGGCCGATTCCTCCCACCTGACCTCACAGGAAGAAGCGAGCCGCGGTGCGGCGTAGCAGCGCCCTCTTCAGGCCTCCCGGGGAAACTGCAGCTGCCGGGCTGGAGGATGAGGCTCAGGGCGCGGAGGAGGGAGAAATTGGGGGTGGGGAGGAGAGGTCCAGAGGGAAAGGAAGAAGGAGGAAGAGAACAGTGTGGAGAGGAGAGAGACAAGTCCCGAGTAAGAAGGAGAGGAAGGAGAAGGGAGAAGAAGAGGAGGAGGAAAGGGAAGTGGAGCCCACAGAGGAAAAATCCAGGGAATGGGACGCCCCTGGCCTGGGAGGAAATGTGGGCACAGCCTCTGCCCACCGGTGTAAGTTTGCTGAGCCGGTTCCTTGGATGCCCCTCAAGTAGGACCTAGCCCTGTTCTCAAGGAGCTCCAACTCCAGTGAGGGGGATAATGTTTGAACCATAGAGCCGGTGCAACTAACTGTAGTGTGAGGGAAGGCGGGCTTCCTGAACAAGGCAGCTTTTGAGCTGGCGCCAGAAGAGTAGGTAGGAGTTTGCTTGCAAGGCAAATAGGGAAGGGCACTCCTGGCACAGGGAGCCACCTGGCAAAGGAGCGAACTATCAACCTCTGCCTTCTTCCTGATGTTTCAACCCCACCCCCACCCCCGGACTTTCCTAAGTGGCTCTCTATGGGCTGGGCCTGGTCACCGGTGGGAGAGAACGAGCTCTGCAGTCTCACAATTTGGGTTCAGCTTCCAGACTTGGGCAAACTACTGAACTGCTCGGTGTCCTCACCTGCAAAATGGATATATTCCTAGCACTTACCTCACAGGATTGCATGAAGATTAATATGAGAGTCCCTGGCACATAACAAGTATTGATAAAACATTAGTGTTTTTACATTTTTATTTTTCAATTACACTTGGTATTCAATATTATGTTAGTTTCAGATGTACAACTTAGTGATTAGACATTTATGTAACTTACAAAGTGATCCCCTTGTTAGGCCTAGTACCCCTGACACCATACATAGTTATTACAATATTACTGACTATATCCCTGTGCTATACTTTACATCCCCATGACTATTTTGTAACTACCAATTTGCAATTCTTAATCCCTTTGTCTTTTTCACCCAGCTTCCCCTGCCCCCTCACACTTGGCAGCCATCAGTTTGTCCTCTGTATTTATGCGTATGTTTCTCTTTTGTTCATTTATTTTGTTTTTTTTTATGCTATTTGTCTTTCTCGGTCTGACTTCTTTCACTTAGCATAATACCCTCTAGGTCCATCCGTGTTGTCACAAATGGTAAAATTTCATTTTTTATGGCCAAGTAATATTCCATCGTATATCTGTACCACATCTTCAATGATCATCAATCAGCGGATGTTTCTGGGAGTAGGCAGATATTTATTGAGCATATATTAGGACCCGGATGCCTGCCAGCTTCTGGGCAGGGGGAACAGAAAGAAGAGTGAGACTTAGACTGTGCCTCAATGACTCATCATCTGCCACCATGGTTTAATTATTTGATTATAAAGCATTTTCAATAAAAGAATGTTAAGCAGGTCTCCCTAATATCTTTGTCTTATTTGTGTACTATCTATTAGCTTATAAATCAGACATGTGTACCGTGAGAACAGACTGGCATTGTGAATACAAGGTGGATGCTAGAACCAGAAGGGAAGGAGGTGCGCGGAGGTGGAAGAGGGTATGGGGGGACAAATGGTGATGGAAGGAGACTTGCCTTTGGTTGGTGAACACACAATACCATACACCGATGATATATTATAGAATTGTACACCTGAAAGCTATATAATTTTATTAACCAATGTCACCCCGATAATCATAAATATATAAAGAAAGAAGGGAAAGAAAAGAAAAAGAAAAGAAGCTGCTAGAGTTAGCGTGGGTTTGAATCTTGGAAAGGCCACTAGAGTGGCGTAATGTTGGGCCAGTTATTTAACCTCCTCACCCTCAGTTTTTTCATCTGTAAAATGGGGATAATAACAGTACCCATCTCATGGGGTTTTTGTGAAGCACTAAGCACTACTTTGTGTAGCATTTAGAAAAAGTGTTTAGAAAATAGCCTGGCCACAGTACGTGCTCAGGAGCTGCTGGTCACTGTTGTCATTACTACCGCTCCACCCCCACATTAAGCCGATTTTAAAGTATGCACATTAAAAAAGAATGGGATTTCAAGTAAACATAAACAGAAACCCTCATGCTTCCTTCCTGCACTCTGACACCCGCCAGGCGTGCCAGCGCCTGCGCGTGAGTGGTAACCTCAAGGCAGGACGCCTGACTGTCGGAGGTGGTCTGTGGGTCCCTGCCTCGCTGCACGGTGGCATTCCCTGGCATTTTAAAACCATCCTGATGGTTGGGTGCTACCCCAGGGGTGACAGTACCATTGGTCTGGGATATACCCGGGGCATGAGGACAGTCCAAAAAAACAATCTTCAGGTGATTCTGATGAGCGGCCAGGGTGAATGAAAACCACCGCCTTCGATAAATGGGGCTCACAACCCCTGCGGGGCGGGGGAACCAAGCAGGATTAAGGGAGGCTTGAGCTGGTGCAGCGGTTGCCGAAGAGACAATCCAGCCTGGGATAACCACGAGAGCCCAGGGGCTGAAGTAAATCTTTCCAAAGAAGGTCAAGGACAGCTTCAGGAGGTAGTACTGTTTGGCTGGACTTGGAAAAGGCCTATCATTAACAATTAAACAGCTTCAGGAGGCCACGAATCACTTTTCCTCCCTCACCACTTCCTTCAGGTTCTCCCCTGCTCAAGAGCCTGCAGTGGCTCCCTATTGTCTGCCCCAAGAAGGCCCAGCTCATTGGCAGGCTTTGACAACCTTCCAGTTCTGGCCCCTGCACTCTTACCAACTCTCTCCCTCAGCTCCGCCCACCTGGTCTCTTTACTGTTTTGTATAAAGCACAAAAGTGTATCACCTGAAGTCCTGTTTTGCTTGGGCCTGTCTATCAGCCCAAAGGCCCTTCTCACCCAATCTAAATTTGCACCCACCCCCCATCCCCAATCTTTTATGCCAACAGCACAAACTTGGGTTCTTACTGTTTAATGTAATAATAGTAACTCCTTTTTATGCAGACTTCTTACCACTTCCAAAGGGCTTTTCCAGAAATCATATCATTCTTTTTTGGATTATGAAATAAAGATAAATGTTATTATCCTCCTTTTGCAGATGAAGAATCTGGGGCTCAGAGAGATGCCTGAGGTCATTGGCAGAGCCAGGATTCAAAGGAACAGATTCCCTGCCCCACCCGCTCCATTCTAGCCTCTTTGTACCCACCAAACAGCTCCCCGGGGTTTCTGTCATCTCTCCTGCCTCTTCGCTCTGCTCTGCGTTCCTCCCATGGAATGCTGTTAGCATGAGACTGACCTCCAGCAGGTGCTTTTGGTTTTGGTTTTCTTGGCCATTGCAAAGTTACTTACTTGTTAACCAGCGACAGGTGTCCTGCCTCCTGTTCTACACCTGTGGATGAAAACAACAAAACAGTTAAAACTTTAAAAAGAGAATATTGCTCTATAACAATGATAATGGTCCTGGCAATGTGATTTTAAATGCACCTATATATTTTTCTCCTGCTATTTCCTCCTCTCTGTTTCTCCCACACAAACATAATCCCCGTGTTCACCACTCAGAGGACGATGTGGGAAAAAAGGAGAACTTTGGTGCCTCTACAGGTCTGTGCCCATTGAGGAGAGTACGGTGCCTCTTCAGCCAAACTTTGGAAGAGAAGGAAAGGATGGAAGACAAGGTGCCATGTTCCAGAACTCAAAGGTGGGAGGGGCAGTGGCTAGATAGTGAGTCCAGACAGGAGGGACCTTAAATGGCCTTGCAGAGATCCCTGGACCCACGGTGGCTTAGGTGTGATGGAAGGATTCCTACTGCCCCCAGAAGAAGTTTCTGGATGTGAAGGAGCCAGGCAGACAAGTATAATGACCTTCATCCACAGACAGGTGATGGAGGACAGCAATGATCGATAAAAGCCCCCAATGTGATGATAAGAGGAGGTGGGGGCCCTTGGGATGTAATTAGATTTAGATGAGGTCATGAGGGTGGAGCCCTCACATGGGATTAATGTCCTTACAACAAGAGGAAGAGACACCAGAGCTTCCTCTCTCAGCCATGCGAGGACACAACCAGAAGACAGCTGTCTGCAAGCCAGGAGGAGAGCCCTCACCAGGAACGGAATTGGCTGGAGCCTTCATCTTGGACTTCCTTCCCATCCTCCAGAACTGTGAGAAATAAATGTCTGTTTAAGCTATCCAGTCTGTGGTATTTTGTTATAGCAGCCCAGGCTGACTAACATACTTAGGGTAGCATAAGGGGGGAACCCCTTTCAGACAGAACACAAGCTTTCCCCACAGAGGCCTGACCTGGACAGTTTCTCTACAATCACAACAAAATGCCAGAATGCAAACAGGGAGTTTGGGAGCCTTTAGTCACTCCGCATTGAGCCTTTAGTCACTCCGCATTGCCCTGAACTACTACAAATAAACATACACACTAAGTAAAAAGTAGCACTTGCTGTGCACAGGTAAGTGCCCTAGAGCAGTTCTGCCGGGAGAATGGCATGGGAGGAAGACAGCTTAGCTTTGTTGCAGGCTTCCATAAAAATCTTTGTCGGTGCTTGCATACCACCAAGAGCGCTAGGATCAGCCGGGAGCTGGGTAGAACCGCAGCATCTCAGGCCCCACTGCAGGCCTACTGACTCCGAATCTCTGAGTCTGCAGCCTAGGAATTCCTGTTTTAACAAGCTCCAGGTAACTCTTATATGTGCTGAAGTTTGAGAAGCACTGCTCTAGACCAGAGAATTTTTCAGACTCTTTTGGTGGAAATACATTTCACATCACACCCTAATAGCCACAGACACACGCACGCACGCACGCACACAATCACACAATCCTTTTGTAAGGGAAAAAATGCCAGTCAAGACTTTATTTGATTCCACTATCAATTAATATTGTCCTTCTCAAATCTAGTTGCACAGTTAAATCACTAAAG